GAGGAAGGAAGGAAGTAGAGAAGGGAGGGAGAAAAGAAAGGGAAAACAAGGCAGTGTTACAAAAGGAGGAAGGGATGGTAAATAAAGCAACCCTAATTGTACATTATAACTTATTAAATGAAATAATAAATGTATAAGAATGATAAATGTAAAGAAGAATAACAATTATGTGAAGGTATACTTAAACTGGTATGTAAGGGAATTAAAAAAAAATTCTTTGGAAAAAAAGAAGTAGTCTCTTCTCTGTCTGCTCTTCCCCCTACCTGAACTGTGTGAAATCCTCAAGACTGCAACTCAGAGCCATTAACTTATAGTTACCGCTAAAACAGTAACAATTCAAGTGGCTAAATAGACACCCACATGGGGTCTTCTACTATCATAAGAGACTTGCATATGTATGCTTCCTATCAGCTGGTGCCATTGCTATTCCTTAAAATAATCTTTGTCCATTAGTAGCCTTAATCATGGACTTGCTTGATCCACTTTTAAAGCCATTATTAGATCTTGTGGTACTGAACTCCACAAGTTAAAAATGTGGTATGCGTGTAAAGAAATCCCTCTTGTTTGACCTTAATCTCCTAACATCCAGATGCAGAAAACGCTCTCACTGGGTTCCAGTATCAGGAGACAAGAATTCTCTCATATCTCTTTTTTTCCCCTTCAGCAAAAAAACCTAGGTCACGAGCAGATTCCCATTGTCCAAAGAAATTGTCTCTGCATGGATTACCATAGGACTGAAGGATCCCCCTGAAGCTCTCCCTTATTTCTGCTTTGGAGAAGGAAATGAACTACCCAGAGGGGAAAGTGGAGATCATTCCTCTTAGCGAAGCCTTCTATATTCATGAACTTGGAAAGTGGGCAGCTGTCTCTTCACTTCTAGCTGTGTCTAAAAAGGAAGCCTCATTAGCCTTCCTTGGCTTTTCAAAAGTACACAGGAAAATGTTCTGGTCAGATCAAGGGCATTAATAAGGCATGCAGTAAAAATCATGGGCTCCTCCGGCAGAGCTTTCGTTCTGTCATGGCCATACTTCCAACCTAGGATCCTGGAGGAGACACCCAGGCACCTTCTAGACTGCCCAGTAAATTGCAGGGCAAGGGTACTATTCCACAGCTCCTCTAATCCTGAAAAGCTCTCTCCATTCAATTGGGCTTCTTTCAGAGACTAAAGGTTTGATCTCATGCATTTTGGCATGAAATTTGAGACATATTATTTCTGGCAACCGTTACTTAATCAACTTTTGCTGATTAGAACCTAATGATGAGATTTTATAATTTGTTATAGCTATGAGATGAGATATAGAAGAGGTATGTTATTAAAATGTCAGAGAAAGTAATAAGTTGCTAACATTGTTTGTACTTGACAAGGTTAGTAATTATTTTATTTATCTTTTTTAATTTTAATTT